TATATATATATATATATATATATATGTATGTGTGAGCAAGGTCATGTGTTATATGCTTCATTGTGTGGTGGTACACTGATTGAGCTTTCTTTATCTTTGCAGGCCGGGATGAATCTGAGGAAAGTTAATAGACATGTGGATTTTCCTCTTTTGTTAGACCTGGCACCTTTCTGCTCTGCCACTTGTAAGGTACTGATTAGAGTTATACATATCAGTAAAGACCGATGATTTATGAATCCGTATACAGTATTGATTCAGTATATGTGTGTGGCAGAACCTCGGGTCAGGGGAGCGTGTTCTGTACAGCTTGTACGGCATTGTGGAACACAGTGGATCAATGCGAGGTGGGCACTACGCAGCCTACGTGAGGGTCCGCACCCCCCAGCGTAAACCTGAGCAGCGCCGGAACCAGTCAGGTACAAAGCCACCCAGGCAGCATATAATTTCCATGTGCTCGTCAGTGCATTTAAGTTAAGTTTAAGTTTCTCTTTTATTGTACATCGTGCGGCATACAAACACTCGATGTAATCAGCGCAAGCAACAGCAATACTTCGACGATCTTCTTCCCCCTCATTATTTATTTTCGTTATACTTCAACATGCACAACAAACCTAAACGTAAAACTTAACACGTAAACTCAACAAAGAAAAACACAAACTTTCTGCTCTCTCGTGCCCGAGTCGCAGCTGCGCCGCGCCACCGCCATTTCTTTGCAGCTAGTTCTGAAAGGCCTGAAAAACCTGTGGGTAAACAAAGGATTGTCTGCATCTCGGCATTGGACCACAACCTTGAGGATGCGGGTTGCTTAGTAAAGGCCAAGTGGGATTTGTTTGTTGTTGATGATCTATAGATGCGTTCTTCTCCACTCTATTCAAGGAGAGAGCACACCTTTCAGCAGTGTTTGGAACAGAGTGAAAAGCCCATGGAGAGCTGTGGTAGTTAACTGTTGCAGTGCACAGATTGAAGCTGAATTGTTGGTTATAATGAAGGCTACACAATCTCTAAAAGAGTCACTGAATGGAAGCAGGGGCTGAAATTTTTTTGTGTGTTTTTAGGACTGTTTAAAAGGCAAAAGTGCAAATGGTACGTTAAATCAGTTGGTAAATAGTTCCTGTAGTATGAGGAGGATTGATTCTCACATAAAATATTGATCTTAGGTGTTTTGAACAAGTACGAAAAGCTTTGAAATGGAGAAAAAAGTAGACCACTCGACAGGAGACATCATGTGGTGAAGGCAAAGCTAAAAGGTGGCATTTTATTAGAATAGGTTCATGATTGTGATGATTAAGTTTGTCGTAATTAAAGGTTGTTTTAGTATCAATTGTGTTCTGTAATGTTTAATAATTGATAAATACAGTAATTGGATGTTTTGCAGTTAAGGACTACATTTTTTTATTTCAAATATGTTAAATGTTCCGTACCCACTGTAAATGAACTTTTCCACGACATTCTAATTTATTGAGATGCACCTGTAGATACTCAAAATCAAATAATCAAACAAAAATAGATTTTAGGAAAACAATGCATGATGAAAGTTGCAGAATTAAAACACTGCATTAAAATATGATTTGAAGGCTATTGCAGTGTGCAGGATTCATCTGTTTTTGTTAGATTATTTGCTTTTCTTTATTCCTACACCTACGTATATATTACATTTACATTTAGTCATTTAGCAGACGCTTTTATTAGGACAATGGAAGCAATCAAAATCAACAAAAGAGCAATGATACGCAAGTGCTATAACAAGTCTCAGTTAGCTTAATGCAGTACACGTAGCAAGGTTTTTTTTTT